AGAAGCGCAAATAACTCGATAATACGGGAACAATCCTGGCAAAGGGTGTGCCACGCGCTAATTTCGATAAAAAGGGTCACGTCCTAAAAAATGGCGGCCCGAAGCGAGAGTTACGTTCAGACGCTTGAGACGTCAAGTTGTCTATCCCACTGTGTTCCCGAAGTAATTCCTGATATTAACGCGTTTATTCGCGTACACGACCGAACAACCGGCGTGACTTTGTAATGGTCGGTCGTATTGAGTTCTTTTAACACAGCCGGCAACAGGCTTGTCTGTATATTGCGCACAAAAGGATCCTGGATCCTTCCTTAGAACCCCCACGGCTGACACGCTCACCCTGCGATCTCTCAATAAGCTAACTAAAAATCATCGTGATTATAGCTTTCATATTATTAATTCGAAATTAATACAACTATATCTTTAATGTCTTGTTTAAAATTTATTTTACATTTTTTCTGTTCTGTTTCGAGAGTGATGAATATTATAATTCAACGATGATTAGAATAATAACGATTATTATATAACAAAATGCAAGAATGATACATTTTATTTTAAATATTGTATGCTATTGCAATTGTAATTCATATTAAAGAAAAGGCCATTGAAATTTCCTCAATAAGATGCTTAAAATCAATAAAAATATTATAATGCTATTGACATAATTATTATTTAAGAGTCATATAACGGGTAAAGATACTCGGTCTATATTGTTAGATAATCCCGGAAGGATTGCGTTAGGTTGTCGTGCTATCACGTAAGACTAGTCAAAAAACGAAGAAGAAAAATGAAGACCGAGAGCAAAGATACAACTAAAAAATGAATAAAAATCTTTGCATTTGATTCAGTTTCTATAGATTCGTTATTAAAAAGGTTTCTCTAACAGTTTATAATATCGGTAATAATTTCCGGCCTCTAGCCATCTAGTTATAAAGTCAACCAGAGATTCCTTGCATCATTCTTACATTATAAAATCTTAATACTAGAACAGCCAAGAACTCTTTCTCATAGAATGTTATTCATCTCGCTTCATCATATTCACATGAGTACACATCAAAGGGTATTCATGAGTTGATTAAAAATTGTTAATATTTGCCAAAAAAAGTACGAGACGAAATAAAAGAATTAAAAATAAAAACAAAAAACATACAAAATCTCGTAAAAAGATATGTATTAATTTAAACAATAGTTATGCATTAAATTAAAATTTACAGTTCTAACTTATTAAAATACTGTTTTTCAACGAAACTCTTCCATCCTCAATCATCAGTCATATCATATGGTATTTATTTCTCATTAACATTAGCTCTCTTTGGATTGTTGTGCGACCGGTGTGTGACCTTACGAAGATAAAAGACGGATTTTACGCGGAGGACCGAGCGTATCCCACAAGACATTAGTATTCCAGCGGGCGTGCATGCCTGGTTGTACGGTGCTAATACTGGCGAGGATACGTGCACGCGTGAGCAGCGTGCGTAAAGCTGTGCGTGCATCGCTAACACGATGCGTGACTCGCCGCGTGTGATTCGGCCCTAAAGGTCGGCGTGGCGATACGAAACGCACGTTTCACGTTACCGCGAACACCTCACGAATTTTCACGAAACTATAAAAGGTCTCTGAATAGAATGTTAAAAGAATAATAAATTGTTTAAATCAATATGAATAGTATAATTACAAGATTAAAAAGGAAAGTATGGTTTAAAATTGTTACTTTATTTATTAAAAAAAAATTCAATTTGGCTTTGCTTTATTTGTTAAATAATATCGTGTCGAATAAGTGCTCGTATCAATTATATTAATACGCGAATTATACTTTTCTCCTTAGATGAATTAGAGAATCTCAGTCAAAATTCCTTAGAAATGTAATTTATTTCGCGGTAAATTATATGCGAAATAAAATAGCTCGATACATAAAATAGTACGCTTGCACATCTCGCTCATATAATTAATATTATATACGCGAATTATACTTTTCTCCTTAGATGAATTAGAGAATCTATCAAAATTCCTTAGAAATGTAATTTATTTCGCGGTAATTATATGCGAAATAAAATAGCCCGATACATAAAATAGTACGCTTGCACATCTCGCTCATATAATTAATATTAAATACGCGAATTATACTTTTCTCCTTAGATGAATTATAAAAGAATCTTAGTCAAAATTCCTTAGGAATCTAATTTATTTCGCGGTAAATTATGTGAAATAAAATAGCGCGATACATGAAACAGTACGCTTGCACATCTCGCGCTCCTTTCATCCCTCGATGATCGATATGGCTAGGACTAGAAGAGATATTTATTCATTAGTCACGCGTAATAACGCGGTGCATCATGATGCTTGCGTCAGAATACGTCGTCGCGACCTTAAGAATCTAGTTTATTTCGTAATAAATTCCTCGCAAGCCGAGTCGAGCGAGCAAGCGAAGATGTACATATGTATGAACGGCGCAATGTGATTTGTGCCTCCTGCCGGTCCTAAAGGTCGAAGTGGAGGTGAGATGCAACGGTGCACGCTTCTTGTGCAACGGTCTTTTCTCAATTTACAGATTTCTGCGAGGATTTCTGCGCCACGAGACGCCCGCGGCGATCCTGCCGTGCAAACAGGTTGTAATACCTATTTTGTCGGAGGGCAAAGATCGTATGACAGAGATAGGACATGGGTGACTTCCTTAATTTAGAATCGCGCTAATATCGGCTCCCGAACTGCCAAATTTATCGCGTAACATACGATTCGGAATCGATAACGAAATCGTGACACGTTAGATGATATATTTACAGACACGTCATTATTCGATAATCTAATATAAATACGAATGGAAGCTCTTCAATCGATAGGATTTCCGCATTGGAGAACATTTACTACAGCGCAACTGATATCTATACCACGTAAGTGGAAATTCCGTGACTTGGAAATATAATCACTTAAAAAATGTAATAACGTAATAATATAATCACTTAAAAAATGTAATACAGAGCTTATGTTTATCATAAACTGTGTAACATATCTTGAATCAAATGAAAATTGAAATGAATTTTAATTCTGTAGAAATAAAATGAAAAATATCTCTTTAAATTACCTCAATTTTGAATAAAAAGTTAATCTCTTTTTTTTGTAATTCCAGTGATTTCCTAGTAATTTATAAATTCGCAGAATAGAATTTCTTTTTAATTTGCTCATTTTCCGCTCATTTTATTCTTGTAATCAAGTTGATTATATGCGAATCTTCTAAAGATGGAGGAAGCAAATTACCATCGAGTTAATATTTGTATTAAATAAAGCTAAAGCTCGAGTAGAATCCTAAGCATACTTAAATTATCGCGTTAATTTCAACCATGTCACAGCTTTTATTTATATTTTAATATTGTATATTTCTATTATCAAAATCAAAGAGATGTTATGTCAAGTAAAATTATTCTTGCTAATATGATTTTTTTTCATTTCGTGGTATATCGAAAAAAGTCAAATTAATGTCTCGAAAACAATTCTGACATATCTAATGTGTGCCGTTACAATTTAAATTGACTGGTATAAAGTTCAGCTGCGACAATTTGAATAGATAGAATTTAATTATTTGAAATATGTTACATCTCGAAATAATCTGATCGATACGTATAGACAGTTATTCTGGAATTTCTCTCTCGGTACGAGTAATTTAATATTAAATATCACGTTTGGCATACGAAGGAATCAAATCGTTGCTCTAATTTCAGTGAACTCGCTGGTTCATCATAGAGATGTACAGGAAAGATATCTTTGGCCAGATCGAATTTAAACCGTATAAGAAAATTATTATCAGAAATAAAATAGCGCGCTGTCCGATCGCGAATACTTGGATGAATTTGAAAAGATGACACAAAAGAAATAATAGCGTTTATCGAATCAAAGCTGAGAATAAAAATTACCTTTAAATACCTTTAATATACTTTAAGAAATAAAATATCTTTTTTTTCAACTGCGTATACGATATTGCAAAATAATATTTATAATATAACAAATGATAAAAAAAGAGTTGCGAAAAAATATGTATATATTTAAGGCGTATAAAATAATTTCGTTATGATGACGTTTGTTCACTTTAAAGAGGGTCTTTAAACGAATGGTCTTGCAATTACGTTGACGCAATCCCGAGGAGCGCACATTCCGGGGTTCGCTTTCTCTCATCTTTCGAACGATCGACTGGAACGTAGGATTTATCAAACGGGAACGCAACACAAAGGATCTTAATCCTTTCTTGCGACTGGTCTTCTCTCCGTTTTTCCTTCTTTCTTCCGTTTTTTTTTTCAGCTCGCACGTCATTTCAGGTGCACGACATCGCGCGATGCATGTCTTCCTCTGGATATGTGCACGCGTTACATAATATTGTATTAACAATGAAATTCTCGGTTTTCACAGTAAGGGTCTGGTAAAGTGCAGTGAATCGCCGAAACACATACAGATATGCAACGTGCTCGTTTTTGCGGTCGTATCATAAAAAAAGAAAAAACCGCGTTGCAAAACCGCATTTCCGGTCAGTCATGTTTTACATTTTGGTGTTAAAAAAAAAATAATAAAAAGGAGCAGATATTTCCGAATAATATCAAACAATTAATTTTGAATAATCGACATATCAGATTTAAGATCATTTTTTCACAAGTTCAAATGAAAAAATAATACGTAACACGTAAAACATTTCAGTCTTAATGTAATGCATATTTCAAATTTTTAGAATTTTTTTATTTCTCTTCTTAAATTTTCACAAAATAAATTCTGATACTTTTAAATATTGTTAAATATCTTATAGATATTTAATATCTTTTGAGAATTTTGAGTCATTTTTTTGATACATTTGAGATTCGATTCTATTCCTTAGAATCATTTTATTTTTATTTCTGCAACTTTTATTGTAAAAGAGAGCTACACATCTATGTTTAAAACTTCATCAATCTAAAATAAATATTGCTTACACAAAAAAAGATCCTTTAAATTTTACTTCCAATAATCTCTCGTTTCTTCTGTTAAAGGTGGATCGGGAACATCGCGGAACACGGGCCTGATTGTTGTTTCATTGCGAGCGGAGCACAGGCAGCACACGTAATGGACACGCCAAACGTATACCGGATGGGGATTGCCCCATGTTCCAAGTATTACAAGAGCGATCTTCTGCGTGCCGAGACTGTCGATGCGGCAAAGAGACCGTACATGGGACGTCCCACGTGAACCCTGCGTTTCTCGTTCGCCCAAGGTGTGGCGCCAAAGAATCCGGAGAACGACCTTAGACGCGACCTCGCCTAGGCTCGACAAAAGTCGCATGCACCCATAGTTTAGGTTTAGGCATAGAAAAGTGAGCGCAGTCTGTTAAGAACCATCTACATTCCGGTTGTCATCTTCCTTCGATCGATATAATCGTATAGCGTTGCACTATTGTAATATTGTAATTTGTTTTTCTTTAAATATCTTTTCATGTGCAAACGTCACGTATTTTAATCTTCCTTTATAAATAACAATATGCATAGAGTCTGTTACTTCATCAACAATAATAACAATGATAGAAAATGTAACGTTATTAGTAATGTATCGACCTGTCAATAACCCACTTTTGTCTCTTATTCAAATTTTATTTCGTATAAAACACGTTTAATAATAGTATTACTTTTTAGATCCTTCAGAGCAATATATATCTATTTTTTTATACGTATATCAAAACTGTAAAAATAATTGTGTGTTGTCTAGAGATTAATTTGGAAGCTTTAAGAATAAAAACCGATTGCGATTTAAATAATTCTTTATAAATATAATTTTTAATGAATTAAACCGACTCCGAGCATGTGATTATAATAAGACTGATTAGCGAGTGCGAATACTCGCTTTTTGCCACAGGACACGTTTCGGTCGCGTAGGCGATCGGCTCGTACAGAGTGTGGGTAGACGAGTTTACATCGCTCCGCATAACAGAGCCGGTGTGTCCTATAAGTGTATCGTCGAACGTAACAGGAAGTAACGCGGTGCGAATATTAACGAGCGTGCGCGGGCGCGCACAACGAAAGCGTTTACGGCTCGTTCTTCGCGCTGCCTTCGCGTTTTGCAACACGTGCACATGCACGCGCGCACTCTTGATGTTTTCGCACCGCGTTAGCCTTTCATGAAACGGACGCAAACAATATACGTAATGTCTCGTCTCGCCTGTACTTGTAACTTAAAAGCTTTAAAGATGAAGATAAATATGTCGTGAGAAAAATTATGTGCATTTAAAAAAATATTCTATAATAATATATATTTTTCTTCTATCCTTTTATCTTTTTTTTCTTCAAAGAAAATACTGTCACAGGATATTGATAGATATGAAAATCGTGGTTTGTAATTAGTAAAAAAAATATCTACAAAAACGTTAAAGTCCACATGTTTATGTTAGATTTTGTAGAATACCATATAAGTTTTAATTATATTTTTTTTAAATACATATTTAATTCAATTTTTAATCTGTCCCTTTCTCATTCTTTCTCTTTTTACCAATTATTATTAATTGGTATCATGCCTGTGTCATCATGTGATACAAAATAATCATTGAAATATTTATTAAAAAATATTACTGTATATATTAATGTATATATTCTAAGGATCATTTTGTAATTTGAAATAAAAATTTTGCATGTTTTTACAGGAATAAGAGCTGACTACCTTATAGTCTGTATTATCCAAAATTTGGATAGGAAAGGCAATATTTTAAAGTAGGTTTGAAATGGAATGTTTACAATCTACAGTATAAATGCACATAGAAGAAATAATTTTATAAGGAATCTTAATAAACCATATAATATTATTTTTACAACTTTTCAATAAACATTGTATCTGAATTTATCTAAAGTAAACAGCATTCCCCCACTTATATGTATATAAAATATAAGGTATATGAAAAAGCATATATAAATATGCATTACATTCACAATCATTATAAATACTGTGGATTTTATACTTGCTCAAGTGATTTATTACTCAGCTCCGCTTGAATTTATTTTGAAAAGGTGGTAAGTCCAAAATTCTAGCCGTGCCAAGCAGTACTAACACTGGAAGAATTATTTTTATATATATATATTGTTGATAAATGAAATTTATCTATATTTAACATTAAAATTTATCAAAATTTATTAATATTTGATTGAATTTTTTTTCAATACAAGCTGTTTTGAGTAATAAAATAATAATATATAATAGTTATGTAATGCAATAAGACTGTTTCTTCTTAGCTAAACTGGCTGCACTAGTTCAGAGTTTTATCTTTTTCTTTCCAATGTGAAGTAAAAAAGATAAACTCTGAACTGGTGCAGCCAGTTTAGCTGAAAGAGACAAATCCAATATTATACTTGCTTATATGGAAACATACCAGAGGCAATCGAATACATTGCTACTTTCCCCATTTGATTCTGATGCTGTTTGGAATGATGACAGACGTATAAACCAGCGGCGACAAGACCACCGCCACTCAATAGTCTACATTCGAGACAATCGCGATTTCTGTTGCTAACGATACTGTTTACTGTATGTATATTTGACATATTGAGCGATTTTAAACAGGAAAGTTTATACGAATTATATCTTATGAATGTTCGCAGAAACGTGATATCTCCTTCGTTTTTATGAAAATGTCTTGCTCCAATTTAAACTTAGCACATGAATTTATTTTGAGCCAGCACTATTGCAAAAGAGCATGACACTTTAAAGAGGTTAGGAGAGAAATTGTCGGCAAGTCACGGAATGTCTCATCTTGACCATGTATAGATATAGTGTCAACAATATTTTATTCAATAATCTATATTATAGATGCAATTAATAGCGAATAATTACATTTAAATTTACAAATTTGACAAAATCACTAGATTTAAAGAGCGAATCCTTTTCCTATTTCTACAACTATTCTTTGGTATTTTTATATTGTGCGCGTGCGCATTGGATAGAAGTCAGTCCGACCAATCAAAATTTAGCGCAATAGATACGTTCTCTGTGGACATCTGACGAGTTCTGTTATCAACTACGAAGGCAGGATCTATGAATATTTTCAGTGGGTAACATGTGTATAATTTCTAGTTGTGTTCCGTGTTATGTGTCGGTAATAATGAGTGCTGTAACGCACATAAAACGTTTATACATATAAATAAATTTATTAAATTTCTTATATAAATAAATTGTGTAGTCTCTCTCTCTACCTCTCTATTCTTAATATTATCTGTATTATATATTAATCATCGTCAACCATTGCCATCGCTGCTGCCATTTATTGTAATAATAATAATGGCAAACATCTTTTAAATATTAAACTTGTCAAATATTTGATTACTGTCACCACCAGAAGTGATGATTTTTATCACACCGACTTATATTTAACCTATCATTGAAAAAATGAAATATAAATATTCTAATTATCTGTTATTTATTTCTAAATATTAAATATTATAAATTTAATAGTTACACATACATTTTTAAAATTGAATTATAAAAGAATCTTTAATATATTCCAAAAGAAACGAAGAATGTTTTTTTATAATTTATACTTGTTTGATGAACAAGTGCAGCTATTAAATCTATACGATATTACTTTAATTCGTTTCAACTTTAATTTTACTTTCTTTTTCTGTTGATTTATATAAATATAATGTAATTACCTGCAAATATGCTGTCATTTTTGTGTGTTTACATTGGTGCAGAAACATTACGAGTACTATATTTACAGATATGTAACATCTGTATATTAAAAAAAGCACCAAAAATACAATGATGAAAAAAGATTAATATTGTAGACCAGTGTATCAATCAATAAGTATCAACCAATTATTCCATTGCTCCGTTTCATTAGATTTGCAATTTTCTTTTATAATATTATAAATAAGATAAAGATTTAGCCACGCTCCAAATAAATTTATACATCTTATGTATGTAATATTGCACATATTATAAGATAATATCGCAGTTGTAATAAGATACAATCCTGATAATGTAGTGATTTTTGGATCCTGAAAATAATGTAATTTGATTTATTTTTGAGAACTGCATGCAATACTTAAGAGCAAATTATTTCTGTGCCATGTATTACCTGCGTAAAATTCCTTGCACAGTATCATATTGTCTGTGATACATGAAAAGCTTCATCGATGAAATAATATGGTTGAATATGATTGAGATATAAAAAAAGTAATATAGTACTCGTAATGTTATTGTGGAATACATAAATATTTTGTATTTTAGTATGTAATTGAGATGAGAGACGACACTCATAATTACTTTAAAAATGTGCCCATAAATGTCATTTAACTTCAATACCTGCACATTCGTCAAATTAATACTATTACGTTAAATGCATCATCACAGTAGCTTGTTTTAATTAATTTAATCTAACTTAACCAATTATATTATATACTTCTCATTAAAACGTGTAAAACTGTACGACTGTTATGTCCCACATTTAATACGATAAAAAAATGTATTACACTAATGAAATTAAATATTATTTTTGAAAGCATGATAAAATTCACGCAGCATATGCTCATGTTTACATTCGACACACGACATAAAAGATATTGAGAGATTAGGTTAGGTTAGGTTAGATCAAAAAAATTATCGTTTAACAGTTGGCATCCCTACAAGATAAACTGCACAGCACTGCGCGCGCGTATATAAAATAAACTTCAAATGGCTTCTAGCCTAGCCATCTTCACGCGATCGACTTTATTTGAATTCGCATCGCGTCGCCTCGAATTATGATGCGGCGTCGATTTACCCGAACGTAATTCGGGACATCGCGATGCTGTATAAGTGACGAATGAGCACGAATTGTCACGCAAATATGATAAATCAAATCAACTCACCGTTCGCCGGCTGTTCCACAGGCTGCTCCATTCGCTCGCCTCGGGATGTCCCATTCCAATCTTGATGCACACAAACTCACACAATATCACCAACGCGAACGCACGACACTTTATTCGACACTCCCGATACTCGCTCGCATCCGATAATCATCGTCAAGGACGCGAAGAATGCGACGCGATTTCGCTCCATCTTCGCGACGACGCCATCACTAAATATCGCTGAATACTGTCCAAAACAGCGGTCGCGCACTTTCATTGACATAATATAACAGTCGCCCGATCATCCTTGGACACTCTCAACGCTCGTCCACTCGCGATATTCGTTTATTTACGGTTAAGAAACGCGAAAAATGCGGAGCTACGACGAACTGCGTATGACTCCGAGTCACGTATGACGTAGACAACGCCAAACTAACATGGCGGCCGGACCGGTGCGCAGTCGTTTCTGCGCATGGCCATTACTACGCTCAACGTCCGCGTAACTTTAATTTCCGAATTTATTGTCTACGAAATCTTTATCGAATCGCAGTCATTATAATTAAAAATTGAAACAGGAGATACAAAAAGGGATAAGAGAATTAATGATGTTATGATCTTTCGATCATTGATACTTATTATAATATTTCTTTAATAATATTATAATTAAATATATTTCGAACAATGCTTTAAATTTTCTCGATCCTTGTAATTTAAACAATTTAATCGAGAATCCATTAAAAAATTAATAATATTAAAAATTAATAATATTAAATGATAAGAATCCAAAATATTAAATAATTATAATTATTTCGATTGTTGCGATCTTTACGGACAATAATTATTATTTAAATACTTAGAGTCACAAATATATTTCATCCGTGTTACTTTATCGATCGACTTGACAATCTAAATATAATTTGGATTATGAGAGAACACGAAGTAAAACAATCGAATTATAGATACAAACAATTAGTATAACGAAAGGCTCCGTGATAAATTGTTTAATAAATAATCAATTTTAATCAATAAATTGTTTTATAGTATATAAAATATTTCGACAACGAATTATCAATAACATTATGTTCGACTTTAATGACATAAACAATAGCGTGTTATTGATATAATTTATACGTTATAGTTTTGCTATCATTTATTCGGTGATATTCAGGAAATAAAGTAACGATGGAAAATGCTTCGTATGTTAATTAATTGTTTAATAAATAATCGTTTAATTAATCTATAAATTGAAAAACTTCTACAATTTAATATTTTCATGTATAAAAGTATAAGTTATAGTACGTAAAATATTTCAGCAACGAATTATCGATAACACGTTGTTCGACTTTGGCAATATAAACAATAGCGCGCTATTGTTAATATGTACTGCTTTATTATCATTCGCACGGTGATACTCGAGCGATAAAGTAGAGGTGCGAAACGCTTCAAATATTGTCGAATTTTTTACAATAATTATTCTTCTTTTAATATTTATAATTAAGAATATTTCGTCCGATGCTTTATCATATAATTATGTGATGATTTAAATATATATAATTCGTCTGAGAACGCGCAGTAAAACGATCGAATGGCAAAATCGAATAATTATCGTAATGGAAAGGCATGTGATGTATATTAATCGTTTAATAAATAATTAATCTGTATGTACATATGTGTGTGACTTTAAAAATATACTTGTATATAAATTCAATTTTCGTATTGTACGTCATAGTACGCGTAAAATATTTCGGCCGCGAGGTCAATAACACGACGTTCGGCCTTGATGACGTAGCGCTGTATTGTTTTCATAGGCGAAGACCTTGTATCATTCGCACGGCGACATTCCAGTAGTAAAGTAGTGATACGGAACACTTCGTATTATTGAATTCTTTTTCTAACAGTGCGATCGCGATTAGTATTGAAATATAATTCGCTACGACTATTGTAGAGCGAATCTTCTTTACTTCTTTATCCCTTATATACGATATATTAATGTACGTTTCTCGTAATTATTTCGCGATCGGGAATGCCGTGCAAAAGTCTCGCGATCGTTTCTATAGTATATGACTAAATATAATTAATTGTTTGTTCGCGAGTGAATATGAGTGCTATGAGGAAACAGCAAAGGTGTATGTATTATTTTCAAAATAGCTATATTGCTTATTATATATATATATATATATATATATATATATATATATATGTTCAAGTACGTAAAATATTTCGATGACAAATATATTAAAAATAAATTAACTTATGATAAAGGTCATGAAAATGTATCGCAACCATATATCTTTATCGAATCGCAATCATTAATTACTGCGAATAAAAATTGAAAAAGGGAACATAAAAGGGGATAAAGAAATTAATTTGATTATGATCTTTCGATTATTGATGCTTATTATAATAATTTCTCTAACGATACTTATTAAAATTGAATAAATTTCGACCAATGCTTTAAATTTTCTTAATCGACAATCATTCATAGAATATTTCAACGACGTTTTATGACTTACGATCATTCGCACAGTAACCTTGAACAATAAAGTAGTGACGTTCCATATATTATCAAATTCTTTCTCTAACAATTATTTTGAACATTGCTTTATATAATAGATTATCTCTTATCTTTTATATTTTTATTTATCGTTTATATTTGCGAATTAAAATTTATATAGTATATTACAAAATTAATTATATACTATATTATATATAAAATTATATATAATATAATATAACCCTCCCATGGGGTACACCTTGTCGCGGTGGGAGGGCTTAGTACCTGGACGGTACCTTGAGGTTTATCTTAAATTTTCCAATTTCTGATAAATCTTAAAGTGCCTGAATGGGAAGCCAAGTACCCTTTCGCGTCGTCGATGCCATCAACGTGCCGCGGATGGCAAGCGCTTCGTTAACGCGTCGCGTTAGGTATATACATATTAGGGAGTGCCGTTAAAGGTATATACATATTAAGTATATACATCGCGCGATCAAATATAAAATTTTTAATCGCATCGAAATTGTGCGGGAGTGCCGCTCAGTATCGCGCGTAAAATAACGAAAATAGCGATATAAAAATATCGCTCGCGAGTGCGGGAGTGTCGCTAAAAGTATCGCGC